GCGGTGAGCCGAGATCGCGCCATTGCACTCCAGCCTGGGTAACAAGAGTGAAACTCCATCTCAAAAAAAAAAAAAAAAGAGTTTTTGAGCAAATAAACTCATCCTATACAGAATGTGAGCCAAATACTCAGACAGCTGGAAGTTCACAGGTAAAACAGAGCTAATCTCAACACATCTGGTTTTTGGAATATTTTTATCTTAGTAAAAAAACAATAATCCATTCACCCATGTAATTTCTTATATTTCATCTTTTAGGCAGGCACATAGGATGTGTGATACAAAATATTGGCTTCAAATTGGACATCAATACAGAAAACATGTGAGGGTTAAAATGTCACTTAATCAAACGTTCAACATCTTTAAGAACCTTGGTATCCAATACCCACCAAGGCTATTTGTGGTGTAGAAACTTTAAAAATAAGCCTCCTGTTTGAATACATGCTACCTTTACAAAGAAGTTGCTGTCAATTTTACTTTGAAGAGTGTAGATATTTTTACATAAGATCTTGAGAGAATTCCTAGTGGCATGCGGCTGAGACTTGTCTGGGGATGACGTGTTTCTCTAGTTGTTGTAAAAGGATAGCTTATCAAAGTGCCCACCTGACTTCACTTTTTGAGCCTCTCTCTAGCCTGGAAGGGTTTCTTATTTGATTATGATACTCTAGGTAGGTTGTCAGCTGAGGGAGACCTTCATATCTTAAAAACAAAAGAGGTGACTGCACTTAGGACCCTTGATTACAAAATGAATTGAAAAGCCACCGTTTTCTTGTCACAGGACCACTCAACTGTAACGATTCTCTTTCTAGTCCTTTACTTTAGCTATTTTCTGCCAAAGCAAAGGGTGATGACTATTTGCAAAGCCCCATGGCTTGCAGCTTTTCACCTTATCACTCACTATAAACCATTCCTGTGTCGCAATGCTGTCTGCAAGACAGGCTGCTGCCTTTATGGCTGCTTTGAGGGGACAATGAGATCATTATTCTGATGGCTATTTTTGCTGTGTGTTTTAAAACAATATTCATGGTAGCCTACTACTCTGTATCTATTTATTCATGATCATCAACAAAAATGAGGCAGGAAAAAGATGTGTCAGTATCAATGATGTTAGAGAGGTGTTCAAATATGATAGGAACAATCCTTCACATAAATTTCCTTAGACTATGAAAATAAATCAGAATAAAAGTAAACCATTCTGTCATTCACATTCTTGATATGTGCTTTTTTTTTATTGTCTCACAGATGTCAGAATGGTTGGTGATTCCTACTTAGCTGAGCAAGAAGGCACTACTCCAGATCTCAAGGGTATCCACTACACAGCGTCTTCTTAGGTCACTTGTAGACTGTGTTTTCCAGTGTCTCTCCTTCAGGCATAGGCATGCATTCCTTCCTCTGCTGTGCTGGCATACCTTCTCATAACATATATTTACCTAAGCTGATTCATACCCACCCTTGAAATTCAGCTGCAGCATCACTTCATTCAGAAATCCTTTCCTGACTCCACATTTGATTTGGACACCCTTTTTATACTTGGCTCATTGCCTCCTCTTCTTTCATCTCAACAATTTTTCCTCACCGTCCTATCATCATGGCCATTGCATTGTGAATACAGCACAGGAAGGGATGCTGAAACCGGCAGAGGATGTAGACTTGACTGTCATTTTAGCCTTCACCTCCTGCTCACCATGTATACTTTCATCGTCAGTCTTCATCATAGCCTTCTTCACTAACGTCTTAGTTATTATTCATATCGTTGCTATACATGTGCTTGGTATGCATTCTGTTACGTAATCTCCATATCAACTCGATGACATAAGTGACACTGCTGTTCCTGAGCAGCATGCAAAGACTTGCAGAGATTAGAAACATGCTAAATTCTATGCTGCGATTCATACCTGTGGTCTGGCTGACTCTAGAACTCTGAGCAAAATGTCATGGAACCTTAATAACAACAAACAATTAACATTATTTAAGAGGAGGGCCATTCCATTATCCTCTACAATACTTAGTAATATGTCATATACAGAGACAATATTGAAAAGTGTCTGTTGATAAAGCAAATTCAAATGTCATATGCTGAGAGAAGCAAAACCTGCTTATTCATGACCAAGGCTTCTCCTTCTCACAGCTAGAAGTTTTGAATTCTGGCACAAGTTCTTGTCTTTCCTTGGAATATCATCAGCACATAATTTCTCTAATCTTTGGGATGTCAGAAATCGGCCACCACTTTCTATCCAAGACTGGTTACATACACCTTGACCACATTCTTAGGAGTTGAGGGTCTTGGTTAGGAAAATGTCTATTGAATAAACCAGAGTGATTGGGTTGCAGTAGTCATCTTACATCCATATGTTTAAGGCATTATTTTCTCCCATAAAAATAATTTCTATATAATAAAATGGAAATTGAATTATTTGAGATATAGATAGTGTCTCCTGCATGTATTATCATTTCTGTTTGCCTCTGCAGTGCTTAGGGGAAATTATATGTATGTCCGCAGAGGTATCAAAAAATGAAAGTATGTACAAACGACCTTCATCTTGAAAGTTAATGAGGAAAGACTTTGGGACAATGTTCTATTATCTGAAGGGAAAAAGAGGAAGAAAGAAGGATGGAAATAGCAAGTGGTGAGAACAAAGATAAAGGCTGTCAGAACAAGAAGAACACTGGAAAGATCATAGGATTTGGACTGAGAGAAGTCAGGATTTCACAGCTACATCTGCAATGTCCAGGCAGGTGAACAGCGGCACATTTGTTAAATTCTGTTTTGAGCTTTTCTTAAATGAAAACTTACATCAATCTTGTTTAAAATTGTTAGAATTAAATAGACAATAAACTTAAAAAGACGGGATCTTTCACGTAGCAGGAGATTAAAATATAACTACCAGTTTTAACTTTTGATATAGAAACCTTTAAAATGATATTTAAATAATAAATATATTTTGCATTCCTTAAAGAGAGAAAGAAACCCTCCAGTAATGTCTTTCTACATTTACAAGTGTAATTTCTGATTCTGGGGTCACAAATTCTTGGGAGCCAAGAGGACAGTTCACCAATCAGGACAGCACAGGAGAGGGGCTCTGCACACATGCGGACTGTCTTCCCAGAAGAATAACACGCAGAACGCACACATGCGGACTGTCTTCCCGGAAGAATAACACGCAGAAGGGACACATGCAGACTGTCTTCCCGGAAAAATAACACACAGAAGGGACACATGCAGACGGTCTTCCCGGAAGAATAACATGCAGAATGGATACCTGTGGACTGTCTTCCTGGCTGAGTATCTTTTAAGTCTTCGCTATATTTATGCATTTATATACGTATATATATATATATATATTATATATATATATATAATATATATATATATTATATATATATAATATATATATACACACACATACATACATACATATATATACATTCCTGCTCATTTATTGAAAGCAAATATTATATGTGTGACAATCTATGTGTAAAAGTAAAATACTACCGTACAGTAACCCCAATACCATTTTTATGCTTTGAATACTAACAATAATTTCTTCATAATTTGTAGCACTAAGACTATATTTAAATTTTCCAATTATCAAAAAATATTGTTTATAATGGCTTTTGTCTTGGACAAGAATCTGATCAAATTTCATTCAATTCATTTGGATTTAATTTCTCTTTTGCCTCTTTAAATCTAGAAAATTCCCTACAACTTTTATTTATATTTATTATTGTTTTGCAAAACATTGAAATTTGAAGAACTCAGGAGTATTGTGTCGAGAACATCTAAAGGCTGGGTGTGCCTAAGTTGTTTTGGCAGATAGTTCTGTAACCCCAGAATTTCCTGTAACTAGATGTTAGATTACCTGGTTAGAATCAAGTTGAACCAGTTCAGCAAGAATTGGTGTTATTGGTTGACTTGTGCCTCTCCAAAAGAGAGGCACTCACCTCCTTAGATTGTGACCTTAGTTGTAAATAGGGTCACTGCTGATGTAGTTAGTTAAAATGAGGTCATATTGGTGTACAGTGGCCCCTGGTGTCCTCGTGAAAAACTGTGAAGACAGATCTACTCAGGAGAACAACCCGATGACAAAGGCAGAGATGAGGGGTAACCAACTGCGAACCAGGTACTGACAGTGCCAGGTCCTCGTCAAAGCCTGGAGGGACAATGAAGGCCTGACCTACAGGTTTCACAGGAAGCATGTCCCTGCTGATGTCTTAAATCTTGACGTACTTGAAGCATCCTAGTCTGTGGCACTTGGTTAAGGCAGTCTAGAAAACTAGTGTCAAAGCAAACTAAATATGGCCTGGGAAGGACTCTGTACCTCTATATTTGAGTCCTTGTAGATGAACTGTAATCTAGCTTAATTGTCAGACAAAATTGAAAACCTAACTTAGTAGTATGCATCTGTCACAGTAGCTGAGTGTCTGCCAGCCCGGCGGCTATACTTCAACCACTTGTACACTGCTGAATGTTAAAAATGCGTTCAAACAGGGCGAAGACCAACTTGTAATCAAACTCACTGTTTCTGTAACTCACTTATGATTCCTGTACATCACTTCACCTTTTTTGTCTATAAATTTGTTCTGACCACAGGCATTCCTGGATTCTCTGTGAATCTGTTATGATTCTGGGGGCTGCCCCATTTGTGGATCAGTCATTGCTCAGTTAAGCTACTTAAATTTAATTCAGATGAAGCTTTGCTTTCATCACTACGAAAACAGGCAACACGGTGTACGTGAAGATGAACTGCATTGGTGGTGTATGGTGTCACATGCCTCATTATTTATGGGGCAAAATCTGATAACTTGGGGAAGATTGGGAAGCTTAATTATAATGGTATTTTTTGTTTTGTTTTGTGTTCCTTTCCAATTCACAAGTAGGACTAACCTTTGGAACCGTGGAAGTATCTGAACAAGTGTTCAGAAAATGACTTTAGTGTCCATTAATAATTGATCATTGTTGACTGAATCAATCATTTTCTTTCAAGTTGAAAGAGGGTGTTTTCTGGCTTCTTCCACATTTATGGACTAGTTCTATTCTGAAAAGAGAAATATTTTCCTCATGAACTGGGGGTGAACTATAATAGTTCTACCTAAAGCGCATGAAAAACATTTAGTTGTCACCAATAACGATGTCAAATGATGTGCTTTCTCCACCCACCCCAGCCTCACATCGCCATAAACACATGGCTTTTTATGGATTCAATGTGGTATAATAAATTACAGTGAGTATTCATTTTTGATGTTGATGTATCCCATATTTGGCCAATAGAAGCAACTTTAATCTAACTCTTCTGTGCTTTAAACATACCCCCCTTGGTCTTTTTTGTGTCTTGCTGTTTTCTGGCACAAGACGTTCTAGGATAACTCTGTCCTCTGTCTTAGAATTTCTCCAATTGTTTTTTAGTTCCTTTATTGGAAAATTGTATTTAGAAATAGTGATTACATACTAGAGGTTCTGACTGCTTCTGAAGTTTATGTCTTTTAGGGTCTTCCAGCAAAGAGAGCTGGAGTTATTTTTAATAAAAGATCCTTACCACACAATCACATTTCCAATTTAAATTTAACATTTCAGGGTATTTTCTTAACTTCTTATGTGCTATTATATCTGTATCTGTTTTTCTTTCTGAAACTGTAAATCTCAGTTTCTTATATAACTTTAACATATATTCTTATATGTTATATGAGAAATCTCATCATTTGTTTTTATGTATTTTTGTCTTTTTTCAGTATTCTAATGTTTCTATCACAATAATTTTACAAATTTATGTTTATTCTTATTTTAAATTTTGTGTTATTGCTACTATAAATTATCTACTTTCTTATGGTTTCTACCTTATAAGAAGATCTATTTTAAGAGTGCAGACAAGCTTAGTATCAAATCTTGTTGTGTTGTTGAAAGTGTTATCATTAGAAAACATTACTGTTTTACCCCGTTGATATTTTCTGCTGCCTGATATAATACAGCTGCTTCATTTGGGTTGTTTTTCTGTTTGTTATGTTTGGCATTTGCACATCATAAATTTAATTGTTTTTTCTTTAGATTTAAGTATGTCTACCAAAATTCTCCTGTATTTATTTTATTTATACATTTTATTTGAGACAGAGTCTTGCTCTGTTGCTCAGGCTGGAGTGCAGTGGTGTGGTCTTGACTCACTTCATCCTCTGCCTCCTGGGTTCAAGCAATTCTCCTGCCTCAGCCTCCCTAGTAGCTGGGATCACAGGCAGGTGCCACCATGCCAGGCTAATTTTTGTATTTTTAGTAGAGATGGGGTTTCACCACATTGGCCAGGCTGGCCTTGTACTCCTGACCTCAGGTGATCCGCCTGATCACCTTGGTCTCCCAAAGTGCTGGGATTACAGGTGTGAGCCACCAAGCTCGGCCTCAAATTTTTTCTTTAATAGGATGATTTGGTCCATTCCTATCCAATGTAATTACTTAATGAGTTTCTCTTATTTCATTCTTTAAGTTTCTTTTTGTGTTGATTTTCTTCCTGTTTTATGTCTTGCCTTCTCTTTGAATGATTTTTTTTCTCCCTCATGCCATTTTCTTTATTGGTTTTTGTGCTCTGTACCCTAATTTTGTCTTTCTATGGGTTATTAAGCTAATCTTAAGATTTCTACTTAACTTGTTGAAATCTAAATTAAATCAATAGTTTTGTCTTTTTATTCGAAAATTAAAGGAGTTTTTGGTCATTTATACTACAAAATTAAAAATTAAAATGCTTTTACTCTGCTTTATTATAATTTTAAAATTAATACCAAGTTCCTTCTAAGAGATTATACTATTCCAAAGCCAAAGTAAAAATAAATTACTATATAGATCTCTTAATTTGCTTCATGATTAATGATCTGAAATACCCCTGCTTCACAGTCAGTAATTCAGGTCTTGATGACTTATGTGAAAATGTCCCTCATTATCACAAAATGTTTATGTCCTGAAGACCATAGTTTTAAAACTTCTTGTTATAGATTTTTGAGCGTTCTGACTCTGGGCACAATTATTGGTTAGGACATAAAAATTGCATTTGGGCTGTGATTAAGTTGACTTAAGTTGAAGGCTAGTCTGTTTTAAACTGATAATAACCGGAATTAAGACTTCAGTCTTTAGGAAGGAGTTTTCTTCAAGATTCATCAATCAGGAAAATGTGCAGATGACTATATGTTTAAATTCACCTTTCTGTGGAATAAACTAGTGTGAGTAAATAATTCATTATAGTTTGCTGCTTTGAGGCACATGAAGACACCATTGGAAACTGTGCAAGGAAATGTGCTCAGTGACCATTAGTGATACAGTGACAAGCAGGAGAGCACAGCCGAGGTCCCACCGAGTGCGCTCAGCCAAAATATCAGACCAGTGTGGAGCCAGGACCAGTATATCCTCAAACCCTTCAACAAAACTTGCCGGTGGTTTGCAGATCTGCCACTTCATTTCTTCTGCAATACAAATGACCTTTTTTCTAATATCGAGAAGTGAAGACAATTGGTTTCTGCTGCAGGGGAACCACTGTTGTTCTGCCTTATTGGTGAAGTAGGAGAGAAATGATATTCAAAAGTAATAAACTGTGTGTGCAGAGAAAATGACTTCACTCCCTGTGGTGTATTCAGCGCATTATACAGTAAACTTTCATTTGCAGAAAACGTATTACCTTTTACACCAAATGTCGGAATCTCAAGTGGTGGTTACTGAACGTTATTTTATATGCTTTTCACTTTGATATCTCTTGGTTTCAGCTTAGAGGACTAGTTTATCAGTAACACATCATGGCAAATTAATAGGTACAGATAAAAACCTCCCATAAATATTCATTACATCTCATTACTGCAAATTAATGAGATATTTTTAAATTAAACTTGATCACATTTGGTACTGAGGATCTCGTTTTAATATATGATGCTCAGAGATAAATTATAATCTTGAAAATGATTGAGCTCGTTATGAAAAACTTTTAGATAGGCATTTTAGTAACAATTTAGATAAGGACTAACAACTATTACACTTGATTTTAGAAATTATGAGAAATTCTCTTTATATTTTTATACTTCTAAGCTGCTTGAATAACACTTTAACTGTTCTCATATAATATTACAAAGCAAAGAACTTTATATGTAGGGCACTATACTGTGCTTTGATAATTCAGAAAATATGTCTGTACTTAGAAGTGCTAGCCATAATAAACCAAATTTAACAGTAAATATGATTTTTTTGCACAAACAATGATTTGTGTTTTTTTTCATCTGCTTTAAGAATCTGAGCAAATATTCAAGGAATTTTTAGGAAAATAAATGCATATGGGATAAATTTTATAAACCAGTTAGAGCAGATTTCACCCTCTTGGTGAATTATGCAGTTCTCTAAGTGGTGACTAGGCAGGAACTATGCATCTACGAAGGCCTCAGGTTCTGCTCTAGTGAATAACACAAGGGAGGTCTTCCCTGCCCTGCTTGGACCGGAGGCAGTCATGCAGATTGCATTTGAATTAGGACATTTTTATGTAACTTGGTTCTCACACCCTCTCTTCAGACACATATTTTTTTAAACACTTATTTTTAATAGACAGATCTTCCTATGTTGTCCAGACTGGAGTGCAGTGGCTCTTCACAGGCACGTTCACAGAGCCTCAAACTCCTGTGCTCAACTGATCTTCCTGCCTCAGCCTCCCGAGTAGCTAGGACTACAGGTACACATGGCCGTGCCTGGCTAGATATAGCTTAGTGAAAGACCTCACTTTTTCTGCTTCTTGACTTATTTCAAAGAGGTTGTAGCATTCCTGTTTTTCTGGTACAACTGCTCCAACATAATGCAAGAGCCTTTTGTTAGCAGCCTTTGATGAGCACGTTTGACGGTCTTCTCTCAGTCAGGCACACAAGCGACACTGCAGCCTCACATGGGAATAAGATCAATCATCCCACAGACACTGATAATGAAATTCAACCCTTTCATGCAAGATTTGACTACCTGACTGTATTGATCATTTAAGTTCATTCCTCCAATAAATACATTTTAGTCCAAATGAAAAAATACCCAGTTAAATGGGTTCATTTAAGTTCACTCCTCCAAAATATAAATTTTAGTCCAAATGAAAAAATATCCAGAGTCAAATGCCCTAAAACAAAACAAATCCTCTGAAGCTCTCTGAGCCTTTGTTTCATCATCAAAATGGAAGTTACCTGTTTAAATAATATCTGAGCTAATTTCTGCTTTAACATTCTAATTATATTTAATGTTAATATTTTTAGACAGCACAATTTTTATATGTTTTATTACATTTACTAGTGTGATATCTTCTAGAGCAAAATAATTTTTCCTCTTTGGTGTTTAAATCTGTATCCCTTTATTCATTAAATCGTCTAGAACTAAGTTCCCAAGAGAGAAGCTTTGCATGTCTTGTAGACTTTTGTGTCCCTAAGACTCAGAACGAGGCCAAGCACGCAGTAGGCATTTCCTGAACACAGGTGAGTGAGGGCAAGTCTTCTATAAAAGATTCAGAGATAATTACAGGTGGTCTTTTGTCATGAAACATTCATAATCAAGTAGATATGGCAAGAAAGATACAAAAACAGCCATTATACAAGAGATTGCACAGTGAATGCTGTGAAAGATATGGAGAGAGAATACAGAGAAAGCAGAGAGCTGCCCAGCATTCCCCAAGGAAAAAAAAATGATAATTTGGATTTGTAAGACGTGAACTCCTAAACTCCAGGATAAGGAGTTTGAAATCCAGAGAAATATCTTGCCTACTGTTAACTTCTGTAGCTTTGTTTTAGAATCAGCTTACTTGATACCGTCAAAAACAAACAAACCAACCCCCCTCGAAAAAAGCAAATGAAAAACAATCAGAGTATTTGTGGAATGCAGTTGAATACACAGGTCAGTTTGGGAAAAACTGGTATCTCTCCCGTGTTATGGCTGTTTATGCATACACCTATTTTACCTATAACTGTATATGGACTTCCTTTAACGTGTTCAAGATAAAGCTTCATGCTTCTCCAGAGTAAATTTACACATATGTTTTTAAAATATATTGTTAGTTACAAATATATTTTTCTATTATAAATTCCAAGCTTGTGACATGTTTGCTATTTCAGTGTAAAAATTCTATTACCTTTAAGTATGAATCTTATAGTGTGTAACCTAGCATAATTTCCAATATTAATTCTAGAGATTTGTTTGTAGAAGTTTTTGGAACTACTACATAAACAATCATATTATGTGTGAATAATG